TGCCATACCCTGCCTTGCAGAGACAGGCCAAGAGTTTGTCCAGGGCCACACAGCAGCTAGAGAAGTCAGCAGCCCCAGAGAGTAAGCGCTCCGGCCAAGGACCTCTGCCCCCACCCACCTCTTTCTCAAATGCTTCTTGATTTTCATGGCCCTGCCCCTCCAGGAAGTCCTCCTGGCTGTTCCAGCCTACGCAGATCCCCAGCTTCTGAGCTCCCACCAGCCCTGCCAGGAAGTTGGAACCACAGGCCTCCCCCAGCTGACTCCTCTCTGAGTCTGGCCTCCTCTACTGGTCGGCAGGGGGCTCTGAGGGTTCCCTTTCCCCTCCAGCTTCCCTGCGGCGTGGCCAGCACTGGGGCGGCCACAGATGTCCGGGCCTGGGTGAGGAGCAGAGGTTGGGCTGAGAAGCAGCAGCCAGGGGGTGCAGGTGTCAGGTGACACCCAGGTCTTTACCCACCCGCACGGCTTCCAATCATGTGGAGAGCAGACCGGTGAGGTGGGGTGGGGTGCGCCAGGCAGCCTCTCTTTTGCGTCTGGAGGCCCAGGGCACGGAAGGGGAGGGGGGGGGCGGAGGGAAGCTGCGGTTGGAGGCCCAGCCCCACAGAGGCGTTCAGAGCTGGTGTGTGATGAGAAGCCACGTTCATCACAGGACCTCAAAACCAGGAAGAGAAACTGAGCAGGCAGAAGGGCAAGCTGGGCTGCGCGGGGCCCCGTGCCCCGGGGCGAGCCAAGGGGAGCTCCCGGACAAACCACTTGGCCCCCCCTGGGCCTCAGTTTGCCCATGGGAAAAATGGGATTTCTCTCCCTGGTTCTGGCACTCTGGCCCTGACTGGTATGGGCTGCAGTGTGCCTGAAGCCAGGGACCCTGCCCCAAGTAGTGGAGTGCTCCTGGTCCCGCAGGGGGCTCTGGCCTCTCCCGGGAAGCAGGGCTTGGCGCTCTGCAGCCAGCCTTGCCTGCCTGCTTCTCCCCTCAGCCACGCAGGGAGCACACGAGCTCTTCCTCACCAGCTCTTTATTTTTAGGTCTGAATTTGACTTTAATCATTACTTAGCGGATTCTATTTCCAGCCTTTGGATGAAGGGACCCAGAGGAGAGGAGGAGGGGAGGCAGTGCTCCCTGCCTGGGATGGAGGGGTGGCCTGCTCCTCCACCCATCCTGTCCCCAACCAAGAAAGGGGGGCATTGAGAAACACCCGAAGTGCTCACCCCAGCCAGGCCAGCATCTTGGAGAGGACCGCACCCTGTGACCTCATCCTAGCCTGGGCTGTGGGACAGGAGGGCAGCTGTAATGCCCACTTCCCCTGTGCCAAGACCAGGCAGGAGGCAGACACTCCAAAGGCAAAAGTCTGGTGGCCAGAGCCTGAGGTCAGGCGCCGGGGAGCCCTGTGCATTGAACGAGCCACGTTGGGAAGGACCCTCTGCCTAGGTCAGTCCTGAGCCATACTGGGGTCATCTGGAGCTACGGTCTCCTAGGCCCCAATCTGAGACTGGTTTCCTCCTAGGGTCCCTGCAGTGGCACTAGGAAGGCACGCCCCCACCCCCGTCCTCCGGTTCTCCACAGAAGCAGAACAAGAGGAAGCAAGTGATGTCACAGCAGTATACACTCAGGTTAGACCTGGGCAGCACCTGCAAGAGAGAGGGCTGCCAACACACGAGATTTCCCAGTGATCTGTGGACCATCTATGTTCCCTTCTACTCCCAGCTGGGAGGCTCTGGAGTCTGTGGCCCCTGGCCCCGGCAGCCTTCGGCTGCTCGGCGGGAGGATGCGGCCGGCATGGCTGTCCCTGGCTTGAGGCTCAGGATGCCTGGGGTTCCTTGCCCAGTATGCAGTTTTCCCAGGGAGTAGGTCCCTGTCTCTACAGGGGAAACGTGGGGTTGGCCTAGGAAGTAGCTGAAGCTAGGGGACAGGAGGCAGCCAGGCTCTCGGAGAAGAGGCCTCATTCATTCAGCTCTGATGCTGGAAGAACAGAAGGAGAAGGGGTCGGACCAGGCCCCAGAAACCAAACCGCAGCCCATCTTCCACATGGTGATGGGGCAGGTGGAAGGCAGAGAGGGGCAACAGGACACTGGCCAGAGCAGTCTCTGGACACAGGGTTTCAGAAGGGCTCCCAGGGCAGAGACCACCCTCGGTTAGGTGAGCCATCAGCCAACCCTGGCCCCGGTGTCTTCTGCACACGCCAAGGCAGCCAGCCTTGGGCATGCTCTCAACAACACCTACCCTTCTTATAGAGCATCTAGTGGACGCCAGAGGCTGTGCCAGGCACCTTCCAGTACCTGGGTTAGTTAGTTCAGTGTCCGCCCCTCTGAAGTAGGGATTGCTGTTGTGTATATAAAGGAACTCTGGCTCAAAGGATTACCTGCCCAAGATCCCTCTACCCTGGCCTCAATGGCACAGCTGGGCCTAGAGTCACTTGTTGGCTGGGTGCCAAGTTGCCTACTCTCTCCAATACCCTCGGCTGCTATGGGGGCCTATAGTAACAACAGTTACAACAGCGACAGACGTGTAACAACAGTGCACAAGCCTGGGGAGACAGTTGGAGTATCGCTGCTATGGCAGAGCTGTCCGGAATATTCTGCAGCTTTTTAGAGGCAAAGTTACAGACTGCGTAGCAACGTGAGAAAATGCCCAGATACAGTATTAAATGAAAAAAGGTGTGAAGGCACATACACCCAAATCACAACAGCGACAAAGGGAAAGAAGATCAGGAAAGGCTGGCTGGGAGCTCCAAGATACTAACAGCCACGGCACTGGGGAAGAAACAGTGGGTGAGTTTTTCGTTTTCTAAATGGTCTGCAGTGCTGTTTTGTTACTTTCTAAATTAAGCACCCTAACACTACACACCTACATACTTAGGTTTTCTCGTAAGGAACTTAGGCTTTGCGTTCTGGGGACCTGACTGTCCCCTAGCTCTGGTCCTGGTGTCTGGGACATCAAGGGATGGCCTTTCTGATTTGGGACAGCCCCTGAGACACACGAAGGGTCCTTCCCTACCTCCGCTTTCGCAGATCAAGCATCTTTGGGGTATTTTTTTGAAGCCAAGGCTTCAAACCCCTCAAAGATGGAGCCCAGAAGTAGACCCCGGCCATCTTGGCCGATCAGGCTTGTGGGGGCAGCCACGTCATACTGTGGGCCCTGGGCCTCTGTTTCTGCCTGAACTCTGGTCTGCTCCGTGATGGTTCAACCCCTAGGGGCCTGGTACCCGCTGCAGTGATGCTGCAGGCCCTCTCCTGGTCCTTCTCAGTCCCAAGTCCAATGCAGACAGAAGAGCTGGGAGGAAGACAGCAAGCTCGCCAGAGAAGAAGTGAATCCCTGCACACGCGCTTCCTGAAGCCGGACCCTTCCTTCGAGGGCCTGGGGACCCTGGGCTGCACCTGACAGCTCACAGGCGTCCAACCAGGTCAGGTTTCAGCCCTAGGCCCTTGGGTTGGAAAGGAAGTCAGGGCTGGGTGAGGGGAGCCTCCCAGACCCACCACATCTGTGAACCCTCCACTGTGCCTGTCAGGGCAACCGGAAACAACAGTCAAGGGCAGAGGCCTGAGCAGTACAAACCTGCCAGTGGCCCCCGGGGCCCCAGACACACTCCAGGGGACCCCCCCCACACCTCTAGGAGCAAGAGGATCCTGTCACACTCCCAATCTCCCACCTGCCACCTTCGCCCTGTTCCTGCTGGGGCCCCTACCAAGAAAGACACTGGGACCATCATGGTGTGGGGAGCTTGGAAGAGACCATCTGGCTGTCCCCACTCTGACAATGCTCCAATGCCAAGGCGTAGCGTGGTCCCTACAGGGTTTTCACCTTCCCCTCCAGATCCCAGTCACCAGCTGAGCCAAAGGTGTACAGGAGGGCTGAGTCAGGAGAGCCCACCAGACTGCTTGAGCTCAGAAGCAGGGGTACATCCCACGGGTGCCCCCACGCACTCGCCACATCCCATGAGTGGGACCCAGCCTCAGACAGCAGGGGGAAACCCCATAGATAGGGTTGATGCTGCCCGAGCCCAGACGGAGGCAGAGCTGGGGCCGGAAGCACTCTCCTTTCCCTCCGAACCTCTGTAGGGGAGCATGTGCTCACCCCACAAGGTCCCATGGGCCAGGCTGGGGGGCTTATGTCCCTCGTGGATAAAGGTACCTGTATCGTTTCCCTCTACCCATAGCAGTCTAGCCCTGCAGAGTGGGGGGATGAAAAGACAGACAACCTAACTCTGCCAGAGGCCTGGGACAGCAACTTCCCCCTTTAAGCCTCAGTCCCCTGGCCTACAGAAAGGGAGGGGAGAAGAACCCCTAGTTAAGCTTCAAGAATCTGATGCCTGGACACGCCCCTTCCTGACACCTGGCCTGGGCCCTGAGGAGCCTGGGAGAATGGGCCGACAAGGCTGCCAGCAGGTGGGGGCATGGTCCTAATAATGCCCGGTGTCACCTCCACCCAGGACAGAGGCCCTGCCCAGGTTCCCCACCCTAGGGTCAGAGGTCCCTTGGCTTAGGCCTGGTCTTCTGGGAGGCTCAGGGTGACAGGCTCAACCTCTGGCAAGCTCAAGGAAGGTGGCTGGGCCCTGGGCTTCCTGGAGAGGACAGGGCCTCCGCGGGGGTAATGAGGGAGGGGTCAGAACCAGGCAGGTCAAGGAATCTGCAGGGAGGCCCGGGGCAGGGAATGGCAAACCGCCCATTCTCCGGGGGCCCTGGTCCATGCTGACCCCCTCCCTCCAGGTTCCAGTCAGCACCCACGAAACGGGTGGGGGTAAGACAGACTCGGGGTGGCCTGAGACAAGTCTGTGGGGCTAGAAAGGCAGTACCTCCCTCGTGCGCTCCCCTCCCAGTCCGGCTGTCAGTGACTCCCGGGAGATTTCGAACCCGAGAAGGAGGTGGGGGGGGGGGGCGCGGTAAGGGAGGTGGGGGATGGGTGTGGACGCCACGGCAGCTGCAAGAGAAGCGGGACGAGCGACCTCCGCCCGCCTCCCTCCGGGAAGCACCCGGACGCCCACCTCCTCTCCCGGCCCGCCAGGCACTCACCTCTCTCGGGGCACTGAGGTCCGGGCCACCTCGCTGCGGGCAGCATCAGCGGCCTGCCGGACGGTCCATGCGGCCAGGGGGGAGGGGAGGGGCGCAGGGGTCCCCGGGTGGTGAGGTACAAAGAGGTCTGGGTGCGAGAGAAGGGGGAGGAGGGACGGCCAGACAGAGGCAGGGGGATGGACGCGCGGCCCGGGTCGGGGAGGGAAGAAAGGCGGGGGAGAGGGGGCGGGAGGGAGTCGGGGGGAGGAAACAATGTAGCCGGCGCGGCCCCGGCAGAGTTCCGCTTCCAAACGCCGCCACCGAGGTTCGATGTGGGGACGTCGCGCCGGCTGCCCGGGGCGGCCCCGGACGCTGGTTCGAGGCGCCGCAGAAGGTCCCCGCGTTCCACGCCCCGGAGGCTCCGGCGGCCACAGGCTGGCTGGGGCGGGAGAGACCGCTGGCCCGGGGGGTGGTCCCGACGGCGGCGCGGCCGGGAGACCGCCCCGCTCGGACCCCACCCCAGCAAGATCTCCGCGCGGGGTGCGGGGTGGGGCGAGAGCGGGAGGGCGGCGGCGGTCGCGGCGGCGGCGGCGACAGCGGCGGCCAAGCTCGGCTCGCCCTGGGCTCCGCTGGGAGGAAGCTCGCAGGCCTGGCGAGAGGAAGCGCGGCCCGGATCCTCCGCCCGCGGCACCGCGCCTGCGCGAGGGAGCCGGCCCGGCGCGCGGCGGGGCGTGGGCCGACGGAGCAGCGCCCCCTGCCGGGCGCCGGAGACACTGCGGGGGGTGTGTCCGCGCGCGCGCCCTGCCCCCGCCTGCCCGCCCGCGGTGGAGGCTCCCGAAGGTCCCTCGGGGAGGGCCGGCCCGCCCGCCTTGGAGCAACCGCCAAGACTTCCCCGGTGTAGAAGCGACGGAGGCCAGGCCTCGGCCCCTCTCCTCGGGTCTGTTTGTGCACAGGGGCCCTCACCCGCAGGAGCATTCATTCGTTCACAAGCATTTCCTGGCCCTGCCAATGTGACAGGCCCTGTTCAGGAGTCTGCCCGCAGGGCCGCTTGGTGGCTGTCAAGGAGTTCCCAGCACCGACAGGCCAGCAGACAAGCGCTAGGAAATAATTGATAAAAGTGAAGAAGTGGTGTACAAGGCCCACAGGAAGCAGGAAAGACCGGAGGGCTACCGGGGAGACTTGATAGAGCTGGGACTTTAGGCGGAAGGAATAAGCGTGGCCAAAGAGGGGAGAGGTGAAAGCACTTGACCCCTGTGCCTGCTCAGTCTTGTCCGGCTCTTTGCGACCCTGGACTGTAGCCCACCAGACTCCTCTGTCCGTGGGGAGTCTCCAGGCAAGGATGCTGGAGAGGGGTTGCCGTGCCCTCCTCCAGGGCATTTTCCCAACCCAGGGATGGAACCCGGGTCTCCTGCTTGGCAGGAGACTGTCTCAGCCACCAGGGAAGCCCCCTGACGGCTCTGGGAAGTGTAAGTGGCTCAGTATGGCTGCAAGTTTGCAGGGCAGGTCCTGTAAAGTCGTGGGAGATGGGGTCCCCTCAAGCCACAGAGCACAAAGAGATCCAAAAGGCCTTATGGGACTTTCTTGGACTTTGTTTTCAGCCTGGAGGCAATGAGGAAGTTGTCAGTGACTATGTGGCCCTGGGAAAGTTACTTAACCCCTCTGTGCTCTAGTTTACCAAATGGGGAAAGTAATAGCACCAACTTCTGAAGGTTCCATGGGGGAGGAAATGAGTTAATATGCCTAAAGTGCTTAGTGAGCAGTGGCAGGCACTTAGTCAGCCCTTAGCTAGCTATCACTTCTTCCTATGTATTATTGTTAATGAAGGACAGGGTGTGATGGGCTCTGAGCTCAGGAGCAGACAGTGAGCGTGTGTGTGTGTGTGTGTGTGTGTGTGTGTGTGTGTGTATACATGCGTGTGTGTGAGGGGGGAGTGTAGAGCTGGGGGTGAGGGGGGGCGGTCGGGATGGAGGAGAGACCAGAGACTCCAGTGTAGGCTGGAGGCAGGGCAGTTCCTAGGGACAGGGCCCTGAAAGAAGGTTCAGGGTTGGATGGGCAGAGGAGAAGGTCCTTCTATGATGGGGAAAGGAGGTATACAGGAGGTGACATTCCAGAGAAGTGAGGGAGTCGGGAGTGAGAGGGACAGTCAAGGGTCTTGTGGAAGAGCCAGCTGAGAAGACAGTGTGGTTGTACATTGCAAAGAGCTGAGTTGGGTGTGCCTCCCTAGACAAACCACAGGATGGCCCTCTGACCCAATGCACCCCTGGGCCAGTTTCCAGTAAGAAGCCAGCCCTGATAGGAGGGAAGTAAGTGTAGTCACACCACTGCCCTTTGAGGAGATGTCCAGTAAGTCTTAGAGACAGCTGTGGTGTAATAGGAAAAAAGCATGGATTTGGTGTTCTCACGGTAAAGTTAAATCTCAGCTGAACCACTTCCTAGTGTGTGACCTTGGTCTAGTTACTTAACGTCTCTGAGCTCAGTTTCCTCCTCCATAAGATCAAGTTCAAAATGCACCTCTCTTGCAAGAGATGGTGCAAAAAAAAAAAAAGAAAGAGATGGTGCAGATTCAGCAAGATAAAGGCCTTGGGGTGGGGGAGGTGGGGAGGGCACTCAATTTGGCTGGTTTCCCTTTCTTTCCTCTGAGGTCAAGATGGAATGATAAAGTGGGACCGTATGGGGCCGCCTCTCAGCCTAAAGGAAAGCACTTCAGCAGCTCTGCAGAAGCTTCGGGAAGGGTCAACCCGACATCTCCCCTCCCCCCACTGGATCAGCTGTCAAAATGGGAAAGGGCTGTGAGGATCCCTCATTCCAGTTAGTCAGCGCTCCGTCTTCCTTTACCCCCAGACATGTTTGACTTCTTCCCGTGGGTTTGCTGTGGCCTGTGTGTGAACTTTGGAGTCAAATAAACTTGTATTTGCATCCTGGCTCCACCTCTTCAGAGCAGAAATGAAATAGATTTGTTAACTTCCCTGAACCCTGACCCACGAGGCAAATCAATACATGCACGGGCCCCACAGAGCTATCCTATGACAGAGGAGCCAGTTCACTTCCAAGTTCACCAGCATTCGTTCATTCATTCCCTCACTCAAATAATTACTGAGCACCTACTAAGTGCTTGGCACCCTTCTGGATGCAGGAGTTGAAGGGGTGAGGAGACCTCCTTGGTTCTTGCCTGGTGGGATCAATAAGTAAGCAGGATAATTTGACACTGTTGCCTAAGGGCAATGAATGATGGAGGAGAGAGCGTGGGTTGGGGATGATGGAGAGACATAGAGGGCCCAACAGCTTAAGGGACAGCCAGAAGGTCAAGGTGACAAGACCAGTGAGGGAGGGTTGTATGAGAAGAAGGGGCCTGATTTGGTAGGGTGTTGTGGGGAAAAGATTTTATTACATGAGTTTGGCTTTTATTATATGAGCAATGTGGACCCAATGATAGATTTTAAAGTAGAGGAGTAACACGACTGAGCAAAAGTCAAGAGACCAGTGCAGAGGCTTTGTATAGTGTGGCCATTGATGATGGGCCTGGGCCCCAGTGGACAAGGGAGAGCCACGTGGCAGTTTTGGTGATGGGGCTGTTTGGGGGGAGCAGAGGCCCCAGGAGAAAATGGACCTGATCATCAAGTACAGCTGGAACATGGGGAAATGCTGGTGCTCTTTGCCGAGGTCAGGAGGACCTGGGAGAGGGGCAGACTGGGGGTAGCGCTCAGGAGCTATATTTTGGACAAGCTGAGGTTAGGACATCCGTGAGACGGGGAGATGTCAAGTTGGTGTTTGGAGCCATGTTTTAAAGACAAGGCCACTGAGGCTCAACCCTGAAGAGCTTTTCCAGAGTCTGACCCCCAGTATTGGGGTTCCAGTCTGAGGACCTCCAAAGCCTTGGGCACCAGACGGCCTCCCCTTTCAGCAGACTCTAGGGAAGGAACTCATGAGAGAAGAATCTGCGGGTTTTAGGATGGGGGGAAATTTAGGAGGAGCCCCCTCCCTCCCAGGCAGGCTCAAGTGCCAGCTTTGCCATGCTGGGCTACTTGTACCTACCTTGGGAAAATGGAGAAAAGAGGGCAGGCTGGAGACCCCGGAATGTGGGGAACAGGGCTCAGGATTTCTGGCTGCGTTTGATGACACAAGGCCACCATACTAGCTCAATGCAAAGTTGGGTTCTTCACCAGAAGTCCTGAGCTTAAGCACATTTATGGGTAGAATGAGCTCTGCCCCCGGGGTCCCCTGGGAAAGGAAGGGCCTCTCCTCCCTCCACCCTGCTTCCTCCCCTCCCCCAGCCTCTTTACTTTGAGATGACAGTTTAGAGAAGCTGGTGTGAAATAGTTTGAAACTCAGAGGTCTGGGCGGTCCCCCAGGGCAGAAAACAGGAAGCCAAGATTAAAGGCAGATTTCCAGCAAAGTCCCCTTCGACTTCCTGCAGAGCAGGTGCTCAGGCTGAGCTCATTGACAACAGCTTCCCTTGCTGGCAGCACCTCTGGGTGGCTCTGCAGAGGCTGGCCCTCCTGCTTTAGGAGCCCATCTTCAGTCTTATCATCACCATCCTCACTGGGAGCTGGGAATTCCTGCCAGGCCCTTGGGGGAGTGAGCATCCTCTGAAAGAGGCTATGGATGGACTGGTCGCTGGCGAAGACGTCTAGTGGGGGCACCAACAGGAACCGGCACCTAAGGACACCTGGGAGGCAGGGAGACCAGGTGGAGAGGATGTGCACTTTGCAATCACTCAGGCCTGGTGTGAATGCCACTTCCTTGCTGTAGGGTCTCACTGACCCTACAGTGGATCAAGAGGTGGATGCAATGGAAAAGGAGCCTCCCGGAAAGGTGGCTGGGGAGACTGGACCAACACTGGAGGCTGAGAGGCCTAGGGAAGGGCAGGACCAGGAGAAATCAAGTGACCACAGTGGCTGTCTCAACATCAGGGGCCACTTGGCAGGGAGGCCTGGCTGGTAGCCATAGCTGCTAAAGGCTCAGGGGACCAGGGCCCAGGATGGGCCTCCCCTCTGACCTCTTTCCCTTCCTGACCCACAGGAGAGCTGGCTCTTGTGGGCTCTATCAAGCAAGAAGCTACACCTACCTCATGCAGAAGCAAAGCCTTGACCTTCCAGATAAGCCCCATGCTCTCTGCAAGGGGCCTGAGCCCCCACCCTCACAAAAGCTGTTCTTGAGGGAAAGCGTTACCCACCCGAACCTAGAGTCATCACATATTGCAAACCTCCCTCTTCTGGCTTGAGTTTAGCCAGAAGAGGCAGCACTGGCCTGGGAGATGCAGGCTCTAGGGACAGACTGGCTCCTGACTTTGGACAAGTTCTTCCCTTGTCTTCGGTTCCCCCTCTTCTGTACGGAAGGGCTGCACCTGATGATCTCCTGTAGCTCTGATTCCTTGTGCACAGGTGGAGGCCCTGGGCATGAGCGGGTTGGGCAGCTGCCAATGGCCTCCAACTTCTGTCCCCCTGGGACCAGCTAACTACCATTTTCTGAGCATCCACAATGTTGCTGTTGTTCAGTCGCTAAGTAGTGTCTGACTTTACAATCCCATGGACTGCAGCCTGCCAGGCTTCCCTGTCCTTCACTGTCTCCTGGAATTTGCCCAGATTCATGTCCATTGGGTTGGAGATGCCACCCAACCATCTCATCCTCTGTTGCTTCCTTCTCCTCCTGCCTTCAATCTTTCCCAGCATCAGGGTCTTTTCCAGTGAGTTGACTCTTCACATCAGGAGACCAAAGTATTGGAACTTCTACTTCAGCATCAGTCCTTCTAATGACTATTCAGGGTTGATTTCCTTTAGGATTGACTGGTTTGATCTCCTTGCTGTCCAGGGGACTCTCAAGAGTCTTCTCCAGCACCACAGTTTGAAAGCATCAACTCTTTGACACTCAGCCTTCTTTATGGTCAAACACTCACATCCATACATGACTACTGGAAAAACCATAGATTTGACTACATGGACCACTGTCTGCAAAGTGATGTCTTTGCTTTTTAATACACTG